GGTTTGTCTGTGATGGTAATTGGTGAGTGATCTCCCTGTCTCTATCTTGACCCATGAGGTTTCTCATCCTATTTTCTCCCTGTCGTGTTGCGGGGGAGGGTAGTGAAAGAATGGCTGGGTGGGAGTTTGGCTTTTAGCCAGGGCTAACCCACCACAGGGAATGAAAAGCTAAGCATATCTATTAGAATATCTGGATCAGTACATACAAACCTCTAACTTTTAACCTTATTAAAACATAACACCTTGCCAAGTTGCTTTTTGCCATGCAGTATTCTTCATCTCTATGATACCATTGGGCAACTGGACGCCCATATTCACCACATAGTACGTTACTAATAATTTGGAGGGGGAAAAAAAAAAAACCCATCAAACACCTTTCGCATTCGGAAATGTATTTTTAAGATGTAGATATTGATGTTAATTTCCCCATACTATATTTATAAAGGTGGCCCTTGTTGAAGGAGGATTCTTCTTTCCCTAAAAGCATTGCTCTGAAAAAGAAACAAAGCAACATAACAACAAAAAAATACAGATTGTCAAACTTTGCATCAGATAAATACACCATGAAGAGTGTTAAACTGCCTAAGTTTTGCTGAGAAATTTGTCCTTTAACAAGAAGACTAGTTATTGCAATCATAGAAATGTACTACTGATAGTAAAGGATAATAAAAAATGACACAATGGGAGGGAGAGGAAAAAAGCAATGGCAGGGGAGAATTTATTACTACAACTACTACTTCTTCAGGTGCTAAAATACGCCAGTGAAAGACTAAATTAATTTCATATGGAAATTTAAACTTATGACTTAATGGATCTTGCAGTGCAAAGCAAGGCTTTAGTGCTTTATACTAATGACCAAACTTTTGTAAAGTTCAAATACTGTCATTTTCAATTTTTTTTTTTTTCCTTGGTGACTGGGAATTAGGCCAACTGCTTAAAATCAACATGGCGCAAAAAGAGAGTAAGAGTACTGAATTAAAGACAGAATCCAGACACAAGAGAAGCAAAACTACATAAATCTTACAGGTTTGGACAACCCAAAACCTACAAAGGCCTGAATTCTACCACTAAGCTTTCCTGTCCTCACCATGGAGTAACTAAAATCAGCACCTGCACTGTAAACAGTGAAAGGTAGAGCCTTTCTAGAAGAGTTTCCAGTTTCCCAGTTCTCATTTTTGATGCAGGCCTTGGTAATGTTTTTTTGGTTCGTTTTTTGGCTTGTAGGTTGGCTGTGGGTCTTTTAGTTGTTTGGGGTTTGGTTTTTTTTTTTCCTCCTTTGTCCAAAGTCACCTCCTCCTCAGCACACAGAGACCTGAATTACTAGAACAAATGAAACGTATTTCTGAATTTAAGTGCTTCACACATCATACCATTAAGCTGTTACTAATACTTCATTTAAATTGAGCAGTTGAGAGGTGGGAGACTGAGGAAGAAGGAAATAAAACAGTTCCACCTAAGGTGCAATATTACTTATTGAGAAGTATGGTACAGGTGGCAAATATTTTTTTTGCACAGAACGCATTATAGAAACTTAAGTGAGGATTCATTCACCTACATTAACATTATTCAACTATGCATTAGGAGATGTATTTTAGACTGCAGAAATCAGTACACTAAAACCTTAATCATACTTCCAGTTCTGCAGTGCAAGCTTGTGCATTAAATATGTTTAAAAGTGTTCACTGACAGCATCAGCTTTAGTTAATGTTCACTCTTCAGCATCATAAAAACATAGCTTTAGAGCATTATAAAAAGTCAAATACTGAAATACCACGAGTCAGATAAACACATTAACATCAAAGTTGTAATATCTTCTGATATCAAAAGATATTCTAGTGTTTCAAGACTACTGCAATCTAAAAGTTGCAATATAAAAATCCTGTTGCCTCTGGCAACATCAGTGTTTCAGAAGCTACCGTAACATTGCTAGATTGTCAGATTTTAATAATAAAAAAGCCCCAGGCACCCTGTTAGATAAGTAAGGAGAGAAATAGTTTTACAAATGCACAATGATTAGAATTCTAAAAGGCATGATAATTTGTATATAATCCACCATGAGTACCACTAAACTGCAGCTTTATCCAACTGCTGTGCCCCTCAATCTCCGTTTGTTTTTTTTTTTTTTCCTGTACTGCCTAGACTCTGATCTAGACAGATGGGCATCCTTCTCAGCACAGAAGGTACAAACAACAGTGCAGGACTGTCATTCCCATTGCTGTTTTGACACAGATTCCCTAGAACACAGCAGGATTACAAAGGCGGCTGGATGGGGGGGAAAGAAAGCAGGCTGCAGAACACACGGAGCTAGTCTGTCTGGAAGAATTCTAGTTAAAATGCAGTAAAAATAAGTTATCTTTTAAATGTTTGTATATGCAATCCTATAGAAAGTGACTTCTCAGCATTGCTTGGAGTCTTATTTTAGAATAGGTTAAAGGAAGATATTGCAATCCAGTCTTCCTACTCTAAAACGTTAGTCTTAGACTGCATCACAATGTTCAAAATTATCTCCCGTTGTCTGTAGGAATCAGTTTTATTTTGAACTTTAACAGCATCTACCTATAAGTATTTCTCAGTTAGTGCTCCTTAGCATTATTAGTTGACAGACAATGAATATAAAACTTTGTACAGCCTCTCAAGTTTCTAAATTCAAATGAGCAACTTGCACTCATTTTGTTTCACTGACTTGGTTTTTAAACAAAGATCTGACAAATCCAACTGCAACACTTAAAAAAAAAATTACTACTATTCCTCTGCATCCAGACTTTCTGTACTACCACAAGTCCAGAGGAATGAAACATGAAATATATTTTGCAATGAAATGGGCAAGAACTACTCCCTTTAACTGTCTACCAGCTTTCTTGTGGGTAATCTCTATCAGAAAAGGTGGCAACAAGGAACTGGAAGGAAGGATGTTTTGAAGTACAGCAGTTTCCATAGCAAACATCTAATCACAGGCTTAAACTGGCTCACAGCAACTCAGCATCGCATGCATGAGACTTCCGTAACACCACAAAACCAGGACTGGCCAAAAAAATATGATGTGACATGTGAAGTAAGACTTAACTGCTACTTTTGAGCGGAGTACCTACAGAAATGTTTGACTATGACTAACTCACCCCAAGAAAGAAATATATTCTAATCTACCTCTAAAACAGAATTTATATGAACATTATAGATATATTAGAAGGATTTGAAGTCAAGTCTACAAGTGCTAGAGTGTCCTTCTGCCTTAAACAAGGCTGGCACGTTTAGCTTTGCAGTAATCATGAAAAATATCGTACAAACTAAGTGAATTTCCAATTTCATATATCCCCATTTTAGAGATACACATAAATTGACATACATGACTCACTCTTCTGAATTTTCTTCTAGGGAACTTGAAGGAGGGAGGGAGAGTCTTTCAGGCAATGCCTTATACTATACTGAAGTATGCATGGCAATTATTTTGTAATACAGAATCGTCGTGAAGTACAACTAAGAAAAAACCCAATCTGATTTTTAGAATATGTTACACTTGCAAATTTATCTGATAGTCACATAACTAGAATGTGCATTCAGATATACAGACAAATAACAACATCCACATATAATTATCTTTTTAAAATGTTTAAATACTAAATTCTTAACCCCAAAAAGTGCCTTATCTGACATGTACTCAGAAGAATCTTGAATTAAGCTATTAAGGTTCCACAAGTAAAAATTACACTGATCTTTAAGGTAAGTGTTACCTACGTGTCCTTCAGCTTTAAAGAAAAATCATTATTTTCTATGGACTTAAGTTGGGGCTATTTTCTGGAATTTCTGCTCTTTCTCAAATAAAGCTTTGATTCCATCTGCCAGAACAAAATGCTTCTTACTCTTCAAGATGCCTCTGTTTGTGCTCCACAAATATGAAGCCGCATGTAAAACGAGATGAGAAATTCTCTGTAAGATCATTTAAGGCCAACAGATGAACAATTTATAAATACTGTTTTCAGTTTTTCTGTCATATGCACATAATACAAGGCCCCTACTTGCCACTTGGAAAATCATTAGGTTTTTTTCCTGTTGAATGTGCAGTATAGAAAAAGTTTCAAGCAGCCAGTTCAGATGTTTAATTAACAGTTGCCTTTTGACAGATTTGTTTTTCACCACTACTGAATTGCTCAACAAATGATAAAAATTAGTCCTGCAGTACATATAAACTGATCTGCTTTAAGTGGTTGATCTAAATCCTATTTCAGTCAGTAAGGTGACTGGTATATCCTCAACATCAATTATCAGAGATCTTTTCTGAAGGCATATCTGGCAGGTAATATGCCTAGGAGTCATTGAAAGCCAAAAAAGAGAAGGGTGTCTACATATTAATAAATTTTAAATCCCCACTTTAAGTACTGTTGCAGACAGGACAGACAGTTGTTAGTAATGGCTAAATGGGAATTAAACCCTCAATTGTTAACAAATATAACTAACAAAATCATTTGAGTCACCAAAAAGCCTGTGCTTACTAATCTCTGACATTACAAAACACAGAGTTTACAATTTTCAAGAAGTCTAAACATGGTTATACAATTTCTGGAGAAATTTTTAGGCCAATAGAATCCGGAACAAGTGAAACAAAGGCGGTTGAAAAGACTTTAAGAGAAGAAACGTTAAGAGCAGTTAAGCAGAGCTGCGCTATTCAGTTTCAAGGAGACTCAGCTAGTAAATGTCAGTAGTTATTTCCACTAAAAAGAAAAAGGTATCTATCATAAAATCTAAGCCTAAAGATTGTTTAAAAAACATGCCAGTGACCAGGAATAAAAATACCTGTCAATATCTTCTATTTTCTGCATATTAAACAGCAATGATGGTACTATCTTGTCCATGTGCTGAGGTTCCCATATAGTTGCTCGAAGTTCATCATTAACTGTTTTTCGAACCACTCCCTGAATGCCCCTGATTCCAGCAATTCGGATCCTAAGGAAGGAAAAAAGGAATTACTAAAAAGGAGAAACACAGAACCTCCCAGTATGGCTGTTTACCTATTAGACAATAGTAATTATGTAGTGTAGAATTCCATTAAGTTCTCAAAAGCAGTATTTGGAAATTTGGCCAATTCATTAAGGTTGCCCATATTGCCTTTAAACGCCTTTATAGTAAAGAAGCTGACAAAAAAACTGAACAGAAGGTGATCTGTAAGGATAATGCTGACACTGATAAATGAATACTCAAACTGTGTTTACAACCTCCAAAAGAAAGTCACATGGGTAAAACCCCACCAACTCTATGCAATTTACTATCCATCAGTTGAAATGTGTGCAATCTCAACCTATTCCAGTGCTGAAGAAAAATATTGTGAAGTTATCACAGCAAAGCTGAAGCAATAGCTACCAGAGCCATGTGATCATGTCCTTAAAAAGTTGTAATTAACGCTGTGGATTAATCATAACAAATCTTTAAAGATTCGTGCAAGATTCACAAGATGGAAAGCAAAGGATAATTCTATCAACTTAAGCCTGATGCACAAAAGGAACCACCACTTTTATCCTAAAACCATTTGAAACAAATTAACTAAGAACTGATCAACCACACCAATAAAACAATAAAAAGCAAAAATTAATATAAGTTCTAAAAAAGATTTAGTCTAGCTGTTAGCTATTTTGTTTTGTTGAACAAAAAGAGTTTGCAGGAGAATCTGTACAGTGAATAGAATGGCAAAATATTCTTTTTTGAAGTGGTAATAGCGAATTATGCCATTATAATAAATGGTGGGAATAGAATTTTACTTACTGAAAATGAGTAGAAGAAAAGGTGATATAGCAATCAAGGGAAATAAGCACAAGCTTCACTAAAATTTGAAATTACTTCTATTAAAATCCATCCCTCATTTTTTAAATCTTGATTTCAGTATGGACAACACATAACTAGCCTTTGTTCAGTCAAATTCACTACATTAAAACATTTGCTAGATGAACTACAGACCTAACCGAACTCTATAATTAGTATTTTTGTTTAGATTTCCATTTGTAAATACTTCTATCTGTAGCCCTCTGATTTTCAGCTATTTCTGAACAAAGCCACATGCATTCAATATGGATGTGATACCATTCCAAACCTTTCAAGACACTTTTAATAGGGTTACATACCAAACAGGGAAGATGAATGCACAAACAGCTAGAAAAGCACTTGCTATTGCTGTACTACAACTACAGCACAGTATTCAATATTAAGTTTCCAATATTAAGGATCTAAGATTGACAATTAAGGCACAGAGCTTCCAAAATTCCATCACAGACATCTTTTTTTTTTTTTTCTTTTAAATTATTAGTTCTGTCTGTTTTAGGATCAGCTGAATTACTCCCTAGTGCCCATCAACGGTATCAACTACATGTGATATCTGCTTTTAGAATTGTAATCTGTAGTCACAGCTCATCTGTTTTGTTGAATTACCTCAGTACCTACAGCAAATCTGGTATGCCAACTCCAAGAATGAAAGAGATCTTTATGAACAGCAATCAACAGAGACACATTTAAACTGTCTACGATGATGTGGGGAAAAAGTCATATTGCTACTTTTGGTCAACCTGAGTGAAAAACCGATTCACATGGGGGAAAAAAGGGTCACACTTTTGTGTGCTGGAGTGCCACTAGCACTAATTTCATGTTCTTACTGTTGTACAGGAGGCTGAAAAATGAGGGTTGAAGTACTGAGGAAGGGGCAGCATCAAATTTCATCACATACAGGAAATGTTTCATTTCTCTAAGGAAGGCTCAGATAGGTATTAAAGCAAAGATTACATTTAAATCAAGGTCATGTACAGTCTTATGTCACTAGGATGAAATTCCTCCCTATCTAAGGGTACATCAACATTGCAAACTGAAGCACAGGTAATGGTACAGACTGACAATCTGAAGAGCAAAAGATTAGCACAGTTCTTTTACTCCTACAGCAATCACAGCTTTGAAGTATTTTACTTTAGGGTGTCCTTATGAGTGGTAGATCGTACTTGATAGATGAATCGGGGATGTACTATTCTCTTAATTCATTCCAAGTTCTAGTTTATTACTAATGATACCTCTCATTTGCAAGCGGCAATGAAAGTGAAAGTAGTACTAAAAATCCTGAGCTGAGCTTCATATCCTAAGCTCTTATGGAATATTTTACAGTAAGTAATCAGTTTAACATTTCTGGTTTAGTTTCCCTAAGCCAAAAAGGCAAAAATCTCAAAAAGCTCACTAAAACATTTATTAATACTACTTACAACCATCAGCTTCAGGTAAATACACTGTACCTGACACAAGCCTAAGTTATGAGGTAGTTGCAGGATACACCAGTTTAATTAGTGACACCTGCCTAAGAAGTTTCCATCCCCTTTGCCCCTTCGTCCCCAAGTATTATTTACCATCCCTTCAGTCCTTCCCCAACCAATTCATGGGGGTTCATGCTGTAAAACCATTCACTGGAATAATCTTCCTAAAGTGAAAGAGGGTGGAAAAGTACAGGAGCAGGAGGCAGATTTAATCCTAACCTTTTTAGAGACAAATTTTAGAGCAGAACCCTATGTACAGCAATAGTGCAACAAATAAGATGGGAGCAAATTATGAAAAATAAGGAGGAATGAACCAGAAAACTAAAGGAGGAGTGAATTCCTTGTTTTGTTTTCTTTTTTTCCCCCTAAGTGATGTACACAGTATTCACTCTTTTGAAAATACAGTTCACAGATTTTTGAAACTGCAAACTTCTAAGAAAAATCTTTACGCATTGCAGCTAACATAACAGCAGCACACCCAAAGGGTTGAATAAATGTTCAGCACATTAATTTTTCATAGTTGGCTGAACAATTTAATGCGTGGAAATAGAAAAGGTGAGTAAAACAGAGATGCAAACCATAGAATCTAAAAAGCCCTAAGTTTTCTAAAATGCTCAGGAGTTAAATACTGATTGACAATTCATATAAAGAACACTTCGCTAGGGGGAGCTGAAGTAAAAAAAAAAAATTGAGCTTACATAATAATGTAAAAATTTGCAATACTAATTCATGAAGGCATTTCAGTTTCACACACAGTATCATACTGCAGACATCTATGAAAATTCAATTTTTAATGAGTAATTCTCAAACAGCAGACTCAAAATATGCTTTTGCTCTTCTATTCATATAAGCCCCATTAATTTCTCAAATGAGTTATGCAACTCGCACACATTTACAGTAATAAGTAGTGCTTTTCTGGAGAGAATCCATGCAATCTGGCAAGCATTATGCAGGTAAAATTCCACTTAAATATTCTAGAGTTCTAGCCATCTAAGATTTGCAATATTCAATGCTATTTAAAAAGTCGGACTTTCATTTTCTTCTTATGGAATGAACTATTCCACCAAATATCATAATAAAAGCTGTATTACAGACTATATTAACATGTTAAGACAGTTTTCTGTAATATAGACAGAATGGCACTTACTCGGTTTGTATTTCTGCATCGTGGTCACATGAATGACACATGGCACTGAATCGAGACACAAAGAAGTCATAGCGTCTGTGATATGAAGGTGTGTCTTCCTCAATGTTGGCAAATTTGACAAACTGGAAAATGAAATACATTAAAAAAGCTTTTCATACCAATTTCTGAAAAGAAAATAATCAATACTAAGCTTCATTTAAGAAGTAACATAAGACATTGCATTAGGAAAGAATCCAGATTTGACAATACTTAAATATTTCACTTCAGAGAAGAAAAAGTTATATTGGAGAGTTTTCTTTTTAAAGCTTTTCCACCAGAACTTCACTTAGATCATTATGAAAGGGTGCAACTGCATGAAATACAACATACTACACAATATGGAAGCATCCAACACTTGAATAGTGAGTGTCATCAATTCATAGAACCATAGAATAATTCAGGTTGGAAAAGACCTCTGAGAACATGGAGTTAACCTAGCACTGCCAAGTCCACCACTAAAACATGTCCCTAAGTGCCATGTCTACACATCTTTTAAATACCTCCAGGGATGGTGACTCCACCACTTCCTGGGCAGCCTGTTCCAACGCTTGACAACTCATTCGGTGAAGAAATTTTTCCAAATATCCAATCTAAACCTCCCCTGCCACAACTTGAGGCTGTTTCCTCTCACCCCATCGCTTGTTACTTGGGAGAAGAGACTGACTCCCACCTCACTACAATCTCCTTTCAGGTAGTTGTCCAAGCAATCAAATGGTACACTGTCACTTACAGGTTAACTAGCAACATTCTGACTTATCAAAATTCAAGTGAGATAAACTTGGAGGCATCCTGTCAATTCTATCTTTACAAAAGGGAAAAAGGAGGAGTCAAGGAATTATAACCCAGTCAATTTTAATTCCATTCACAGAAAGACACTCTGAAAAAAAATAATCCAATTTGAAAACATCTACAAAGTAACGAAGGGGTAAGTAACAGTCAACATGGATTTGTCAAAAACAAATCACATCAACCCAGCCTAGATTATTCCTGTGGCAAAGAAATAGATTTTGTGAATCCAGATGAAGCAACATCTGTCATATCTTAACTTCAGTGACACTGTTCACAAAAAAATACACAAAATTCTCAAAGTGAAGCTAGGAACACATTGTCAAAAGAACACTCCCTGTAAGATAGATGCAAAAGGGTTTGAGAAAAATATAGAAAGACTTGTAAATCATCAAACTACAATAATGTATTGAGTGAACTTCTGAAGGGGCCTGTCTGGAATACAGTAGTCGTTGAGCTTCACTAGACACTTAAATGACAGAGTGGGCTCATCAAATTTTCAAAGAACACTAAGCTGGCCAGAACTGTAGGCACACTTGATGCCTGGTTCTTGACAAATAGGACCTGCAAAATCAAGGAAGTAATTTAGGAACGACAAATGCAAAATACCACTTTAAGACAGCTGTACAAATACCAGCCAGACACAGCTGAATACAGAAAAGAAACTTATGGTTATAATAAACTGCACATTGAACAAAAGTCAACACTGCTATACTGGCATGAAAAAGAAAACAATATATTGTGATACATCTGTATTACCCATGACACCTATGAAGAAATTTTTGCCATCTAATTGGCACTAATAAGCCCTTAGATGAAGTACACATCCAGCTGAAGCATCACAGCTGAAGACGGTGATTAACTGATACAGTCCTTCAATTATTCAAGGGATGAGCAAAGCTTTAGATAAACACCTGTTAAAAATGACTGAAAGACATTAAATTATCTCCTTTTTAGAGCTGCCTAAAAGATATTAGTCTTACAATGTACAGAAGACAGCTAAAAAAAAGAAAAGAAATAAATGGTTTTCTCTGCCCAATGGTAATAGGAAAAGCAATAATGGGCTTACACTGAAGCAAAGGCTAACTAAGCCATTAAAAAACCCCTCCTTTCTAAAGTGAGCAGACTGCCTAAAGACCTTTTGAATTCTCCATCACTGACAGTTTTAAGAACAGACTACTGAAGGAAGAAAAAAGGGAAAAGAAAGGCTGTCAAGAAAGGTTTAACACAGTGCTGGTTCTGCCCTGAAGCAGAGAGATGTCCCATTAAGATCCCTCTGCTTTTTCCCACCCCAGTATTATTCTTACCAATTTCTAAGCACAGGCTGAGGCATTTATTGTATACTTTCCAAGATATAGAACCTGCTCTTATCAGCACGTTACTCACAAACACCTAGACAAGCCCGAAGCACTTTAGCATAATCTACAGCATACTGATTTGTGAAGGTTTTGAGGTAGTTTTCAAGCTGAAAGTGAAAGCTGTTATTTCAGAAAAAAATCACCACTTTCTACTCTATTCTTAGTCCTTTTTCTGTTTTATCTAGAACACTTATCCCTTTCAACTGCACTACCAGTTCACCCACTGGAAGCTACAGACACAGATGAAAGTGATAGAAACTAAATTCTCAGCCATTACTGAAAATGGAGGAAAACTGTATAACACTAGTCTATTTTACATGACCTTGAGTAGAGAATATCCTGTATCGTTAGGTAATAAGAAAGTGACATACAGTCAAAACCACTTCTGTATAGTCTACTGCCACAGTTTGAAAGACAATACACAAACAGCAACCATACTTTCTTTTCAATACAGTGACTTATAAAAAATATCATTTCCTTCCCAACAGACCCTAGAAAGTGCTTTAAATCATAGAATGGTTTGGGTTGGAAGGCACCTTTAAAGGTCATCTAGTCCAACCCCCCAGCATGAGCAGGGACAAATTCTACTAGGTCAGGTTGCTCAGAGCTCTGTCTAACCTGAGCTTGAATGTTTCCAGGGATGGGGCATCTACCACCTCTCTGGGCAACCTGCTCCAGTATTTCACCACCCTCATAGTAAAAACTTTCTTCCTTATATCTCGTCTGAATCTACACTCTTTTAGTTTAAAACCATTGCCCCTTGTCCTATTGCAACAGGCCCTGATAAAAAGTCTCTCACATCTTTCTTATAGGCCCCCTTAATAAAGTACTGCAAGGCCACTATAAGGTCTCCCTGGAGCCTTCTCTTCTCCAGGCTGAACAACCCCAACTCTCTCAGCCTGTCCTCATAGGAGAGGTGCTCCAGCCCTCTGATTATTTTGGTGGCCCTCCTCTGGACCCACTCCAACAGGTCCATGTCTTTCCTGTGCTGAGGACTCCAGAGCTGGATGCAATACTGCAGGTGGGGTCTCACTAGAGTGGAGAACAGGGGGAGAATTACCACCCTCGACATGCTGGCCACGCTTCTTTTAATGCAGTCCAGGATACAGTTGGCCTTCTGAGCTGCGAGCACACATTGCTGGCTCACGACCAGCTTTTCATCCACCAGCACCCCCAAGTCCTTCTCCACAGGGCTGCTCTCAATCCCTTCATCCCCCAGCCTGTATTGATACCAGGGGTTGCCCCTACCCAGGTGCAGGACCTTGGCACTTGGCCAGTTGAACCTCATGAGGTTCACATGGGTCCACTTCTTGAGCTTCTCCATGTCCCTCTGGATGGCATCCCTTCCCTCAGATGTGTCAACTGCACCACTCAGCTTGGTGTCATCTGCCAACTTGCTGAGGGTGCACTCAATCCCACTATATCATTGATGAAGATAATAAACAGTATTGGTCCCAGTATGGACTCCTGAGGGACACCACTCATCACCGATCTCCATCTGGACATTGAGACATTGACCACTACCCTCTGGATGTGACCATACAACTAATTCCTCATCCACTGAACAGTCCACCCATCAAATCCATATCTCTCCAATTTAGAGAGAAAGATGTTGTGGGGGACCATGTCAAAGGCCTTACAGAAGTCCAAATAGACGACATTCGTAGCTCTTCCCTTGTCCACTGGTGTAGTCACTCCACCATAGAAGGCCACCTGGTTGGTCAGGCAGGACTTGCCCTTGGTGAAGCCATGCTGGCTGTCTTAAGTCACCTCCCTGTCCTCCATGTGCCTCGGCAGAGCTTCTAGAAGAATCTGTTCCATGATCTCCCCAGGCACAGAGGTGAGGACGATAGGTCAGTAGTTCCAAGGGTCTTCCTTTCTATTCTGTTTAAAAATGGGTGCAGGGTTTCCTTTTTTCCAGTCACCAGGGACTTCACCTGACTACCATAACTTTCCAAATATCATGGAGAGCGGCTTGGTAACTACATCAGCCAATTCCTTCTGGACTCTGGGATGCATCACGTCAGGTCCCACAGAATTCTGTATATTCAGGTTCCTCAGGTGGTGACAAACCTGATCTTCTCTTACAGTGGGAGGGACTTTTCTCCCCCAGTCCCTGCCTTGTGGTCCATCTACTCAAGAGGTGTGGAAAGAGAGGTTGCCAGTGAATATTGAGGCAAAAAAAGCTGTCAAGTACCTCAGCCTTCTCCTCATCCCTTCTTACTGGTTTGCCAGTCTTGCTCATCAGAGCAGGTACCCTTTCTTTGACCTTCTTTTCCTGCCTACATACCTGTCAAAGCCCTTCTTATTATTCTTTGCATCCCCTGCCAAGTTCTGCTCCAGCTGCACCTTGGCCTTCCTGACACCATCCCTACAGAACCAGGCAGCGTCCCTTCGCTCTTCCCAGGAGACCTGTCCCTGCTTCCACTGCCTGTGCATTTCCTTCTTGCCCTTCAGTTTGACCAGCAGGTCTCAACTCAGCCATGCCAGTCTCTTGCCTTCCTTGCCTGATTTCTTACACTTGGGGATCGAGAGCTCTCGTGCTCTATGGAAAGCATCTTAAAGATCTGCCAGCTCTGTTCTGCTCCCTTGTCCCTGAGGGCAGTTTCCCAGGGGGTCCTCTTGACTCACAAAACTGTGGTGGTGACACCAGCCACAGAGCCATGTATCAATAGATTGGGCCCATCTATTTCTTCCAGTGTTGCTGCCTGCAACTGCAAGGAGAGAGGAAGAAACAACCTGTGCTCCAGATTCCCTTACCAACCATCCCAAGGCCCTGAAGGGTCTTTTGATCACCTTTGGACTACGTGTTGCAGCTTCATTGCCACCCACATGGAAGAGCAGTCTTAAGTCTTACTGGTTTCATGGAATTGTTAATTACAAAACAGAAATAGATTTATTTTTTTTTTTTAAGACAGGAACCTAACTAGTCCTTACAA